CCACAGCCACTTTTGGGAATTTGGCGGCCCAATTGCAGGAAGCTTATGATGAGAAAGGTGGCGTCGTCGTGCCCTGCCCGCCCCCACGTACTGCTGTAGCCTGCCACGTGCGTACCCCCCATCTTGTGACAAGTCACAACTCTCGGCAGTATTGATAGGTATCTGCCTTCTCTCGTGTATCCGATGAGACTGAGCGCAATCCACATGTTGGCGGCGTCCGCTGCCCCCGTGAGGGCTTTTGTTGCGTCTGCTGCGCCCTCAGTGGCGCGCTTTGCGGGGGGCTCCTCCGCTTTCTTCTCCGGGGCTCGACAAGGTGTGAGCGGTGTTTGTCGTGCGTGAGCCAATATCACGCCGCATCTCATTGCTCATGATCAACGCGTGTGTGCAGCGAGGCAGTATCTCAAACAGCGGAGCCTTGTAGCAATGCTGTGTTGCTGAGACGGCGGCCGCGAATGCGTGTTTATGTTCATGTGTGTACCTCTGTCGACCTGGTGTGCATGTTTCGAATCCCTTGAACCGGGTACATTGTGAATACCTGCTTTGTTTGCGCGAGCCGGAGCCCAGTGCAGCAATACAGCAGTACTGCTGTACATTACTGGCCAAACGACCAGCGGCTTTGTTTGCACGGGCTAAGCATGGAGTCCAGTGCAGCAATACAGTAGTGCTGTACATGACTGGCCAAAGAACCAGCGGGTATGTTGGTCACTCGCTGGTAAACATGTAGACTATGTACACCTTTGCGTGTTGGCGCCGACCGAATTGGTGAGTTCACGCCAAGGGTACGGAGCAGAAACCAACTGAGGGCGTTGGACAAGAGAAGACCTTGACATGAGAAGAGTTTGCCTGTCACCATTAGGGGGAAAGTCTCATCGATTGGGTCTCTTTCTCAGCTTGGTCGGTGCGCGGTCTTGAATGATTGAGATTGAGAGTTCGGCTGGCACCATCACATAAAACAAAAAGCCTAACATGCCACCATGCACAACATACTACTGCTGCCGTTCACCTGTCGCCGTCCTTCCACGTCTACCTGTCCATGACACATGTTGCCACTTGATGCGGCAACATCTGGGAACAACACGGACACAGGGAGTACCCCCGTACCCATACGCACAACCTCTCATTCCTCCCTTGTCAAACACAAATGATGTAACATGCATGAAATGATGAACTCTGTCTATATTTACAAGTATGGTCCACGCTGCCTACAAATGGGAGAGGTAGCCATACCTCCTGCCTACACACGGACGAGAGAGGTGAACACACCCACTTCATTTAACACACACCCACATGTCGGTGATGAAACCTCATCAACCACACGCCTCTATCGGCGACCACGTCATCAGGAGACAATGATGAGAAATGTTCTCCCGTGCCCTTCTCACGATTCACGACATGAAATTCCACAACATAACATATATGAGACACACAAGACAGCTACCAAACTATATATATATACTTATGCTGTCTAGGAAATCGTAGGCATACAGGTAGTTTTCTCTGACCCTATGATTCCATTGTTAATCTGTCTCTGACTCTTTTCTATGATAGAGATGGCACATCAGCCGCACATACTCCGCACATATGCATACCAAACTGAGAATATGTTTGTAAACTGATGGAGATTGCATGTGTTAGAACTAATAGGGTGCGACACACAAAACGCCCGACTACCCAACAGTACCCAACACCTTTCGTCTGCACCTTCCCAACATAACATATATGAGACACACAAGACAGCTACCAAACTGATTTGTTGAGCCTGTTACCCACAGGGGAGATGTCCCTATATGCTGTCTGGGAAATCGTAGACACACAGGTAGTTTTCTCTGACGCTATGATTCCATTNGCACACAGGTAGTTTTCTCTGACCCTATGATTCCATTGTTAATCTGTCTCTGACTCTTTTCTATGATAGAGATGGCACATCAGCCGCACATACTCCGCACATATGCATACCAAACTGAGAATATGTTTGTAAACTGATGGAGATTGCATGTGTTAGAACTAATAGGGTGCGACACACAAAACGCCCGACTACCCAACAGTACCCAACACCTTTCGTCTGCACCTTCCCAACATAACATATATGAGACACACAAGACAGCTACCAAACTGATCTTTTGAGCCTGTCACCCGAGAGTTGTCCCTATATGCTGTCTAGGAAATCGTAGACATACAGGTAGTTTTCTCTGACCCTATGATTCCATTGTTAATCTGTCTCTGACTCTTTTCTATGATAGAGATGGCACATCAGCCGCACATACTCCGCACATATGCATACCAAACTGAGAATATGTTTGTAAACTGAGGGAGATTACATGTCCTACAACTAATAGGGTGCGACACACAAAACGCCCGACTACCCAACAGTACCCAACACCTTTCGTCTGCACCTTCCCAACATAACATATATGAGACACACAAGACAGCTACCAAACTGATTTTTTGAGCCTGTTACCCACAGGGGAGATGTCCCTATATGCTGTCTGGGAAATCGTAGACACACAGGTAGTTTTCTCTGACGCTATGATTCCATTGTTAATCTGTCTCTGACTCTTTTCTATGATAGAGATGGACTCGTTGTGTCATATTAAGAAGAAAAAAAAAAAAGCCTCATCGATTGGGTCTCAACCATTCTTGATCACGCTCACGATAACAACATCACGAAACCAACACCACGCCATACTATCCCATATCCATCTCACCCTCGCACACGTATTGAAGTACTACTGCAGGTCATTTTCTAATGTAGGTCACATATCATGACCTTTCGTAGACGCCGATGGGTATTTTGTGCTGGGAACAAGTACGTTGTATCGGTCAGTAATATCTGAACCATGTACAGTGGGGGCTACGGTTTAAGAGAGCTCAGTTTAAGAGAATTGCCGATTCAAGAGAGGTCAAAATTGCTAGACACACCCCTCTCTTGAACCGAACCCCGGATCTCTTAAACCTCTCTTAAACCGAACCTGTCCCCCCACCCCCCACCCCCTTTAGCCCACCAGCTGCCCCCCACTGCAGCAGCTCAAGCAGCTGTACAGCAGTAGGCCATAGCTAGCGAGACACACAGCTCCCACCGATGCGGGTTCCCGCTGCCTGGCAACGCCGGACCACACACACACACACTGTTTACGAACCACCCATGCCGTGTCTGCGGAGGCTACCCTCATGGACTGTGCGGTGTGCATCACCCGCTTGGCGACAACGAGATGCACCGTGTCTGCCACGGATGTGTCAACTCGAGCAACCGCAAGGAATCAAGCACAGACTCGACTGCTGGGGCTGCATCTTCGAAGCGCCCCTGCCCGGACGGGTGGGCAACAGGGAAGGAGAAGCGAGCGGATGCACTGGGCAGCTTGAAACCCGTTGGCAACACCGCACATAGGAAAGTTCGTGGCGCCGAAAACCGCAAACGACCGAAGGCTCGAAGACAAGGTTCGGGCGCTCGACCTTTTGAAGAGCAGGAGCGGCGGAGCAATCGCGAAGGATATGGAGATCGGGGTGAGCACCTTGTACGGGTGGAGAGCTAAGCAAGCAGACATCAGACAACAGGCAGCAGTCTCCATGCCCGGCGCCAAGTCTACGAAGGGGACTGAGTTTGCGAAGGTGGGTGCTCAGCTATGTTTGCTGCACAGCAGTACACAACAGAGTACAGCAGTAATTCCGAGTGTATTTTGATTTTGTTTTTGAATTTTGAATATTTCTTGTACAAGCAGGGGTCGTGTACTGCAGTTTATTAACAATTATTGTGTACATTACTGCTGTACCACAGTATGTTTAATTCCGAGTATGTTTGTGGCCGTTTTTGTTAAGCAACCGGCTAGTGTGGCGAAGGTACGCTGTATCATGCCGTGCAGTATTTGCTGTAGGATGAAATGATATACAGCAGAGCAGTAACAGCAGTGCACACACTACAGCTGCTAAATCCGTGAATAATATATGTCTTCTTTTCTTCTCCAGGTGGAGCAAACAGTCATGGAAATGTTGGTGCAGGCGAGGGCACTGAGAATGCCTGTCAGCCGGGACGCGATCCAGGCATTCGGGCGCGAAGCTCGTCGTGCTATCGAGAACGCAGCATCTACGGACGCCGAGCGTGTGCACTACAGCGTCTTCAACGCGTCCGAGGGATGAGTAAAGAGGTAAAGAAGATTGTCAAGCGCAACAACCTGCACTCCCGTACACCTCACGGCGAAGCAGGCAGCGTCAACGACGAAGCCATCGCCGATCGCCCCAGAGTTATCCGCGAGACGTGCGCTCAGTATGCCCCAGAATGCGTCTACAACGCCGACGAAACCGGGCTGTGCTACAGGATCATGCCCAAGGCTACATACCTCGCACCATCAGAGCTCAAGAAGACCGTGCGAGAAAGGCATGAGAGCGAAGGATCGAGTCACCGCCTACATGGCTACGAGCGCCAGCGGGCGTAAGGTGCCGCTGTCTTTTATCGGCACAGCCAAGGAGCCCCGGTGCTTCAAGATCCGGGGCTCACCCATCAAGTATTTCAGCCAGGAGAGCGCGTCGTCGGACGCGCGAGTGTTCAAGCTGTGGTGGTCGCAAGTGTTCCTGCCACACGTGCGCTCCGTCACCAGCGAGAAGGTTCTTCTCATCATGGACAACCACAGCAGCCACGCCGACCTCGTAGACCCCAAGGAGCAGGTGAAGATTCTTGAGCTGCCACCCAACTGCACGAGCAAGCATTAGCCCATGGATGCCGGGATCATCGCAGCCTGGAAAGTGCGGTACAGGACGAAGCTGCTGGGGATTCGCGTCGACACGATGACGTCGGCGGCGCAGCTACGGGAGCAGGCGAAGGAACGCAAGGTGATTCGGGGCTGCATGGGGCTCGCGGAAGGAGNTTTCAGCCAGGAGAGCGCGTCGTCGGACGCGCGAGTGTTCAAGCTGTGGTGGTCGCAAGTGTTCCTGCCACACGTGCGCTCCGTCACCAGCGAGAAGGTTCTTCTCATCATGGACAACCACAGCAGCCACGCCGACCTCGTAGACCCCAAGGAGCAGGTGAAGATTCTTGAGCTGCCACCCAACTGCACGAGCAAGCATTAGCCCATGGATGCCGGGATCATCGCAGCCTGGAAAGTGCGGTACAGGACGAAGCTGCTGGGGATTCGCGTCGACACGATGACGTCGGCGGCGCAGCTACGGGAGCAGGCGAAGGAACGCAAGGTGATTCGGGGCTGCATGGGGCTCGCGGAAGGAGCGCAGCCTCACATCCTGGACGCAGCTGAGCTAGGCCTCGAGGCGTGGAAGGAAGTTTTGCCGGAGACAATCAAGAGGTGTGTCCGTGTGGTGGTGTTAACGACATTATTCAATAACTGCTGTATAATTTCCCCCCTCTAGACACATACCGTTACCACGTATATTGCACGTTGACGAAATTGTTAACTGACGTCATCATCTTGCAAGTTTTGTTTGAATTGAAAAAATGATAAAATGCTTTTTTTTCCTTCTTTTTGTTTTTTTCTTTTCTCGCCGTGCACGTTTCTCTCTCCTTCCCGCGTACTTTTGACTATTCATCGTTTCCAAGGTACTGGAAGAAATGTGACATCCTTCCTCCTGCGGTGCACGCGGACCTCGACCAGGACGTGGGAAAGAATATCCCCAACAAGAAGGAGAGTCTCGAAGAGTTGACGGACTTGGTGCAGCGTCTTTCTCTTGAGGCGAAGAAGTCAACTGTCGATGAAGACCTTGGCGAGGCGCTTAAGGGTCTGGGGTTGGCACCTGGCGCAACGCCAACCCGGGCTTCCATGGAAGCCGTGCAGACATGGTTGCGTGAAGAGGAATAAGAGGGTGTAGGGGAGGCGATTATTGCAGATCTGAAGGACGATCTTTGTGAGGAGTCGCTTGCCCACCTGAACATGGACCAACTGAACATAGACTCGGACGACGTCGAGGCCGACTCTTTGGCGGGAGACGAGGGACAGTGTACGCAGACCCTGGTCTATCCTCGTCCGCCACCGTACGCTGACGTATCTAGGCAGTTCGTAGACCTCGAAGAAAAAGCGGAGAGGTGCAGCATGGCCGGGGTAGCTTACCATCTTCGCAAGGCGAAGTTAGCCTGGATGAGCGAGGCTGGGTCAAAGAAAACGAAGCAAACATGCATGGCAGACTTCATGTAAAGTTGCACAAGCTGCCCACAGGTGATGTTCATGGACGTCTTTTTTATTTTTTTATGGGTAGGGTGTACAACTTGTACTGCTGTAGGTGCTTGAGTCACTGGTCTTGAGTGTTTTGTGTGTGTGATGCTCACGTCTCTGTGTTCTGTTGGCAGCTATCCTATGATATGCACTGCTGTTTGTCGAGATGAGGTCGGAGTAAACCTTGGCGACCACGTAATAGTTACATCGGTTGTGCTTCGTATACAACAAGAAGGAGGGCTCACGCTTGGTGAGGGCCCTATAACGCACGAAANCAAGCTGCCCACAGGTGATGTTCATGGACGTCTTTTTTATTTTTTTATGGGTAGGGTGTACAACTTGTACTGCTGTAGGTGCTTGAGTCACTGGTCTTGAGTGTTTTGTGTGTGTGATGCTCACGTCTCTGTGTTCTGTTGGCAGCTATCCTATGATATGCACTGCTGTTTGTCGAGATGAGGTCGGAGTAAACCTTGGCGACCACGTAATAGTTACATCGGTTGTGCTTCGTATACAACAAGAAGGAGGGCTCACGCTTGGTGAGGGCCCTATAACGCACGAAAGTATTGTGGAAAACAAAAAAAAATACTTTTCATCACTTCCATCATGTTAGACCCTGTTAAAAGGCATATAATTGGTTCAAGAGAGGTTTTCTCTTAAACCGAACGTACGGTTTAAGAAAAAACCTCTCTTAAACCGTTTAACGAGAAGGTCGTGTTGAAGCGAGGTCTTCTGGGTGTGCACACCCCTCTCTTAAACCGTAGCCCCCACTGTAACGCTGCTGCGGTGAAGCTAAGCGCGTGCGGTATTACGGTTACGGTGGTCGGCCAGTACCAACTTCTGTTAGCATTAGACGCCTGCAATCGACGGTCACTAGCGCACCCTGGTTCCTCGTCGGCGCTCTTTTTTCATTTCCGCTTGGGTGCCGGAAACCTTCAACACTTCGGAAATGTCTTACCGACCGGCAGACAGCTACCGTCTACACATATCACACGAGTCGTGTTGTTTTTGGCAACGGCTGAACTTGTAGCACACGCGTCCGGCAGCAAAGGAGACTACAGTGTCAGGTTATCACATCGGGAGGATACATAGAGAAAGGGGGAACGGGAACACAAGTACACGCGTGTTACTTTTTACAGAGAGGAACATCCCCATCCTCTTGACAGACTAGTTCTCCAAGTCAATTATGAGTTCAATTTGAACCCAGAAAGCCTAGTTGGGAACTCACGTCGTGCTCCCTCGCAGAGCACGCGGTTCATGACGAAAGTAGAGAGGGATCTCAAGCAAGCCAAACTCCATTCGTGAGCTGTTTATATTCTGACTCTCTTGTTTTTACGGGAAACAGGCTGTATTTTTTTTTTTTCGTTGCTATTTTTTCGGACCTCAAGAGACAACTTTCACGCCAAGGTTGCACATTCGATAAGCTCTCCCAATTCGGGGTATGCTCCACCAAGAACAATTGAGTCGAAAGAATTAGATATAGATCGAAGACATACAATAGTGTGCGTAATTTGGGGTCGCCACCTCCGCGATGCAAATAGGTCTACAAAAGTCGCCGTAGAACGACCACAATCTGATGTGTACAGGGGCGTCAGCCACCGGGTAGGCTAGACCTGTAGGCAATGAGACCTTCAAAAACAGCCATGAATCTACCTCCAGATGTGCGTTGTAGTTCAAGTCCTGCAAGAACACCAACCGAACTTGAGCCACAAGAGCGTACTGCAACATGTAGAACCCGTTAAAGGTATGCCCCACGCAGGGGTTGTCGTCCTTAAGTAAGGGGTACAGTAGGGCAGAACAACCGAAGTTTCAACGCGGAACACGCTCCTGAGGCTATGTTGCCATGGTGGTATGGTGACCCAACAACGCGGAGGTTTTTTTCGGTAGGGCCTATCACTTAGCTTTCAATCTTCAGAGCGCAAATGCTCTCGATGTCTAATGGGTGAGCTTCGCGAGGCCCCTGCCCGTGCGCTGGCTGGTTCCCCTCAAATCTCTTGAGCGTAGGGCCCGACAAAACTGCCATTTTTCAACGGCTTGCGGCGTCACTCGCGCAGGGACAAGTGAGTAAAGGCCGTGCGTGTTTCTTGACTCTACCGGTCCCTCACTCTCGCTTGCGCGCTCGTCCTACCTTATGCATGATGTGCGCTTTCGGATGCAACATCGGACGCCGTCAAATTGCGCCGTTGAACCGGAATGACGGTGCCTGGATCATTTCTTGGGCGGGGAGACATCAGGTTTGCGCGGCGTGGCGCAGGCCAAGGCTAGGCCGGTCTCAAGGACGATGCGCATGGCCAACTCCCAGCGCCTCGGCGACCCCATTGGACAAATGCTGGACAAGGTACCTTCCCAGCGGTTGCAGGAGCCGGTCGGTCATGCCAGCGTGTAGACGCAGCAAAGGGCAGTGAGGTTCCGATTCTCCCGTTCGGTCCGACGTTTGGGTAGAAGAAGGGAACATGGCAAGTTTAAGCGCTACATAGTCCTTTGCCATGCACGCCGGTACGTTGCGTATCTCCCATCTGGAATAGTGGCTGTCGCTGGCAGTTCCGGCTGTCGCTCCGTTTCTGCCCGCCGTGTGATTCTGGCTCTCTATGCCGTGACTCGTTCACAGTACGTGTAGCAGACCACTAGCTAGCCGCCGCGGTAGACGAAGAATCCCCCAGCAGGGTGGTGTTGGGGATATGCCACAAAGTGCACCGTAGCGTGGTGTTAACATGTCCATCGGTTAGAACAGAACGAAAACGTTGATGTTGCCCTGCTCTGCCCTGCAGGGGTGCGTCGGCCTGTTTGTTCCCTAGCAGGGCCGGAAGCGGAGCGAGAGGGAGTGCCTCGTCCATTACGAAAAGCCGCTTGATTCTTAACCTGCTGCACCCATTCGTCCGCTTATTAGAACATGTCTTCCTCGTGTCGCCTGTTCGCAGACGGACGTCTTCATCTTCGACTGTGACGGCGTGATCTGGAAGGGCGACAGCCTCATCGAAGGCATACCCTCCGTCCTTGACCGTCTACGACAGGCTGGAAAACGGTGAGGCTCTCGTCAACCGCTAGCAGATAGCGAGTTACTTTGGCTAAGAGAGCGAGCAGAGATCGTGCGGTTGTCGAGCCGGTCCACTTCGTAAAACGCGCGTGTATTGGGAGAGGGTTACATATGTACGACACTGGTAGGTCATCTAGCCCATGAGTTAGTTCACCGCTTTTGTTGTAAAACGCACGGTGAGAAGTGAGTATGTTCTGTGTATTATGAGAAGCAAAATAACAGCGTTTTGATGAACGTTTCAAAGAAAACGTAGTTGACTCTATGGGCATTTTTGAAAAAAAGGTTGCAGCAACGAATACCCTGAGCAACATTTTTTTTTTTTTCTCCCATCATTGGACTCTGTCGTCTGGCCCTCTGGCCCCTATCCTCCACTTCAACAAGCTAGACGACCCGACCGGGGTCACATAGGAGGGGGGGGCTGGACCCCCTCCTGCGGTTCCTGCCTGAGGTATTTTTATCGCGAGAAGGGTACAGCAATCCCTTCCCTCGCGACTTACGAAGTCGATTATATATCTATATGCTTTGGGGAAGGCAATAACCTAGCCCGAAACGTTTGTGTTTTGTGTTTTGTGGTACACTTCTGCGGACTTGGTTGTTTTGGTTCCCTTCCCCGACCCCCCCCCCTCGAAAAACGCTTGGCGGCGCCGCAGGATATTCTTCGTAACGAACAACTCTACCAAGAGCCGCAAGGGTTACAAGTCCAAGTTCGACTCCCTCGGGTTGGTGAGCGCGGTTGTTTTTGTTCATTTTTTCTTGTCGATGTTCTTTCCTGTATTCGTTGATTTGTTCGCTTCTTTGCCTTTTATTTTCTTCCTCTCTTCTGTTCCTCTGTTTTCGTTTCAAAGATATTTTCCTTTTGTCTGGGTCCGGGTTGTCTTGCTGTTTTTCGGCCAGAGAATGGTCCTCGTGCCTTTTTTCCTTTCTCGGCCAAAATCTCCGAACAAAAGGTGGAGTAGTGCTGTATTTGGTCGAACGTGAGTCCTTTCTGTGGAGTCCTTGAGAGTGCATTGAAATGAAATTGCTGTACTATTAGTGCACAGTTTATATTGTGAAACCTAATCCGCTTCTCCGGAGGTGGAAAACCTCGGATATTGGCTGGATATTGGCATGGGTACGACCTCGCGCCCCCACTTTATCTCCAATTTGTCCGTTCCACACCCGTCTCTTTGACTGTTTTTTTGTTGCTTCGCCACCCCACACGCCCTCCCCTGTACACAACTCTTATCCGCCGACCTCCATTTCCGCAGAGCGTGGAGCCCGAGGAGATTTTCTCATCGAGTTTTGCGGCCGCGGCATACCTAGAACAGACAAGGTTCAAGGACACCGGGAAAAAGGTAGGGCCTATCTTTGTCTTGGCTGGGTTTGCCGACCTTATTTGCCACCGTTTTCGGCGCGACCGAAGGCTGCCGTGTATCAGCCAAGCGCAGCGAATGGGGATTGCAAATCGAGCAACTGGTGGTGTTCCGAAGCATCGGGTACCCAATTGGATTTCTCGGGGTCGTTTTAAAGCTCGTGAACAGCTGTGCGTACGCAGGAAGAATATCGGTTGACAAGAAGCAGACAGAGATGGATGGTACAGTGATGAAGGCGCAGGTACACGGCGGTGCTAGAGTATCAGTGAAGTATGGACAGGACGTGGGCGCGAAAGTTGGAGGACAAGCAGATGCAGGTCTGCCATGCATCCTCTCGTCGTGCCATTGGTTGCCCGTCCCTTGCAAATCCCGACCACCCTACGACTTCGTGACCCCGACTGTCACACCAACAACGCCTTCGGTTTTTCCTTTCTTTTGGGGGGGGGGTCGTATCTTGCGTCCAAGGTGTACATCGTGGGTGAAGTAGGCATCGAGGAGGAGCTAGACCTCATCGGTGTGCCTCACTTCGGGGGACCCTCGGTAAGCTGAAGCCTGTAGGACAGAACTCATGGAATGCATCGCAGACGGAGTTCCCACGTGTCTTAACACCCCGAATCGAAGCTGGGAGCGCTCGCTGTAAGGTTTACGACAGGACTCATGCATACACTGCAGACAGAATTCTTGTGTGCTTTACACCCCGGATCGGAGCTGGGGGCGCCCTGTGAACTCTAGGGTAGGAATCACGGCGTGCGTCGTGGACGGAGTTCCTACGTGATAAACACCGCCGATCGGAGCTCTAATCAGGAGACTCTTCAGCGGAGGGACGTAGACCACTACTGCACGGGTAGGGGCATGAATGTAGAGCTATACTGGAGTTCCCCCAAATTTCGAAGAAAATAAACAATTTCCCGAAAAAAATTAAACGTTTTGCTGGAGTGTCTTCCCCATACTCAAAAGCACTTGAAACTAATCAAACACACACCGTTCCCTGAACATGGAATTTTTTCTCGTGCCCACGCAGGACGGGAGTAAAGGGGTGGAGCTCAAGCCGGGCTTCGCCCTCCCGCACGACGAGAACGTGGGAGGTATGAATCGGCCGGAGTTGCCCGCGTCGCCTTCCTTTTTCGTGTGTTCCGTACTTGATTGTATTGTGTGGACACTCATTTTTTGAGCTGGGATGGATCTTGCCCTGTTGATCGTGTTGTCGGGTACCGTCTATCTACATCCATGCCTGTGTTCCATCTTATGTCAGCAAGTTCTCCGGGGCTACGTGCGGCCTCGCGCAAGCGTTGCAACGGGCTCCGTCCCGTCTATCTACAGCCCCAAGGGGCACAGGAAAGGGAACAACTAATAGGAGAACAAAGGAATTTAGGGTGGACTTTCTGTGATTATATGTATATTTTCCAATACTTGTGACATGGGCTACCTTTCAATCGTCTGTCCACTCCCACCGAGATGACCTAAACCTGCCACACCTTTCACAACCTCTACGGCTAGCTTGAGAAGGCGTGCACCGCAAGGGTAGTCGTGCGTGCGGCGCCGAATTTTTTCGAATCTTCTCCCGTCAATAGAGGAGGCAAGACCGTCCGGTAGTGGAAGGACGGTGATATTGCGGGTCCCACAAAACACAGAAACCATTGACCTCTGGACCTTGTTACGTCGTCCTTTTTTGCGGCATTTTTCGGTCCTGTTTGCCCTCCTCGTTTCTCTTATGTTTTGTTTTCTCTCTTTTCTTTTCTTTTTTAGCCGTGGTCGTCGGGTTCGACAGGATGATCAACTATTACAAGATTCAGTACGCCCAGCTGTGCATCAACGAAAACCCCGGGTGCGAATTTATCGCCACCAACACGGACGCGGTCACCCACCTCACCGACGCGCAGGTCCGTTCGTATGGACACGCAGCATGTTCGTGTTTCATGTTACCAGAAAATATTGTTCGCACAATCACACCAAGAATATGTTGTTGACATGTGCAGGAATGGAAAAGCTGTTTGTCTATGGGAATATGAGGGTGCATGATAGACTCAGCGGCAAGTCCAAGGCCTGTCCGGATGTACATGTCGTTGCGTGGTTGAAGGAGGGTAGCTGCTACATACGAGGCGTGTGGATATTTGTTGTTTCGATTTCCCTTTCCTCTCCTAGCTGTTTTTCTCAGGTTGTACTTCGAGAGACATATCAACTTGCGCACCAGCGTGCTTTTAATTGGCTTTTTCGAGGAAAACCAAGCGCCGCTGCGAGTGTGTACATTGTTTCTCTCTCAGAGGAGGAGTCGCACTGCCCTGCCATATTTCCCCCACGCTCGTTTGCGCTCGACGACTGCGGAGGGTTTGATATACACAACGCGTCACCACGCATCTGAGAAATTTGTAGTTGAGAAATTGAGGCTTGGATTTTGACGGGTGTGAAAGTACTTGTGACCCACCCACACTAAGGGTCTGTTTTCCCCGTCGATTCCCCACTGATCTAATATGTAGCGAGAGCTGCGCAAAACAGGGCTTCTTATCGCGCATGATCCCCCCCCAATCATGTGCCTCTTGTCCAGGAGATCATAACCTTACTGCAATATGTATGCCGCGGTGCCTTGACCCAAGCGTATTCCCCATGTCTATTTTCATGGCCGCTGAGCGTGTGTGTGACTGACAACAATCTTCTCACCCCATTCCTGGCAGGAGTGGGCTGGGAACGGCGCGATGGTCGGAGCCATCAAGGGATGCACCGGGGTGGAGCCGACGATCGTAGGCAAGCCTGGTCCCCTGATGATCGACTACATCATCCAGAAGTACAACGTTGAGAGGTAGGCGCAACCGCGTGAGTGTTGCGCGAAATCGCCTGTGTGTTCCTGATGGTCGACTTGTGTTGATTATGATCAACTTATGTTGATCGTGGTCAACTCCGGATGGTCGACTTGTGTTGATGATCAACTCATGTTGATCGTGGTCAAGTTATGTTGATGAGTTGTCCTCAGCACATGGAGGTTAGCGCAGTGTTCTGCTGCTTATGGGGTGTTACACAACTAGAGGTAGAGGCCGGAACTCCTACATATATTTACTGGCGTGTATGTGGCAAATGGCAAGACTCTCGACCTGCTTCCCGCGGAAACACTACATGACCATGAGAACAGAAACCAAGGTTTTTACCCCAGAGCCGTGATGTTTTTTTTCACAGCAGCAGTGATCGTTTCAGTCTTTCGACCCAGTGCAACTCCCGTGCGACAGTCTGATATCCTCTTTCTCCCTTGATTGGGCTTAAGGTTGAAAGGGGGGTGTCGGGTTGCAGAAAAGCCTGCGCGATGATCGTAGGTATGCACACCCAGAGAGATCCCTCCCCGAAATACATGTAAGCCGTTGTGGTCCAGACTGTGCAGCAACAACAACAATAACATCATTTGTGCTTGTGCGTACACGTGTGGTTACTTCGTGTCGACCGCGCTAATCGGCCGACCAACAAAATTACGTCAGTCTGATAGCGGGATCTATAACGCGAACGAACACGGTTGCTAGTGGTAAGGGTTGTACCGACAGGGGGGGGCGCAGGAAGTGGCCGACAGTGCGTGTGTGTGTATAATTACTTGCCTTGGTTTTGCAGTCCAGCAGGTCGGTCTTGGACATGTTTGGCGACACAACTGGACATTTATTGCAACACCAGCAGCAGCAACCCAACAACAACCCGCGCTTGTGTCTCTGTGCATGTATATTTCTCTTCGTCTTCTCCAACTCACAGGTCGCGCATTTGCATGGTCGGCGACCGCTTGGACACCGACGTGCTTTTCGGAGCCAACAATGGCCTGATGAGCATCCTCACATTGAGGTGGGTTTCGGGTGTTGACTTGTCGTTTTCAGTTCTTGGTTTTGCGTTGTGTCTCGCCCCATAACAATGTTCGCTCTTGATGGTTGCTGTCTGGGGAAGCCTTGATAAGCACCGCCACCTGGACTTGGGTGAGTTTGAGACTGCTTACGCTTCCTTGGTTTGTCGCGTGTCTTGGTCGTACTTCATCGCCTTGCGGTTTGTTGTCGTTGTCCAACCATGGATGCATGGATCACCCTCATACTTATTGGGGCATTTGATGCGTCTGTTGTATTGTACTTCAGCGCGTTGCGTTTTGCACCCCTCTTACTCGCCTTTTCATTTGAATTGTTGTTGGGACTAAAGAGCTCGGACTCCGCGTACGCTGTGTTACCGAATTCTTTGGGAATGCCAATCAGCCGAAGCAGAAGCGACGCTACGCCGTTGCGCTAGATTCAGGCGTCCAAGTCCACCCCCGCGTTCCCAGCAGTGCTTATCGCGGAACCCCAAAGCGTTATGTCCCGACTTAACGCGGGTACGAGAGTGTCTGCAGCCAACACGATACGACCCCCAAGAGCACATCTCATCAACCCGCGCATGGCAGTAGGAAAAAAACGAAGTCGTCCCGGAAGCGTGTTCAAGACAGCAGCCCGAATTATGTATGGCAAACTTGCATTCAGGTTGGTCGGTGACCGCGGTGCACACACGCGTTTTTTGTTGCCTTTCTCACTCCGACTGTGACGGACCCACGAAGCCAACATATCAACAATCTTGCCGTTTAACTCCGCATACAGTAGTGGCCTCGTCGATATCCGTGTTTCACCCACGCGTTGTCCCCCCCACCATCTGCACACGCCGCCTTCTTCCTGTGCTGCTCAATCCAGCGGCGTCACGACCGAGGAGAAGCTGCTTAGCCCGGAGAACAAGATCAACCCTGACTACTACGTAAACAGCATCAACGACTTCTTCCCTTACTACACGTAGTAGACACGCAGGGTTGCACTCATTGGTAAACATCATCAACGACTTCTTCCCTTACTACACGTAGTAGACGCGCAGGGTTGCACCCATTGGTAAACGTTTCGTGTGAACACGGAACGGCTGCAAGAGAGACAAAGCATGTCCTGTTTCGCGTCGAAGATGGTGCTTCTTCCCTTGTCGGACCAGCTGAGACGAATGTAACCCGTCTCTAAAAGGCATGAATAGCAAAGATACGCTGAGGATATGACGATTTTTACCGGTATAGTTTTTCTAGATTTTTCTCGCTGCCTAGGTGTGGTGTTGTGGATAATATGCACCACCCTATTTCGGGAGGACGTTTTCACGGAATTATTGAAGGCGAAGTAGCTCATTCCGGCGACCGGAGTATTGATGTTTTTAGTCCACCCGATGCCAGACACACATTTTGTTCTTAGGGCTGTATCGGCCAGCTATAGGTAAGAAACTTATCCACCGCTGAGCTGTGTTTTCACCCCCAGTTTTGAATGTTCGGGGAGAATATTTAATATTTTGGTTTGTCTCCCTCGCGGCCAGGTACTACTGCTGTAATGCTGCGCTCGTTCTGGCACATAGTTGCACCTGTTGCTGAGAAGGAAATAGAGCTGTCACGAGTCCAGATGATGCAGATAGAGTGAATAGATGGCGAGATGTTGATATTTGGCAGCCTGCTGATAGTCGTTGTGATGGTTGACCGCGACAGAATTGATGCTTCCAATCATTCCCGCGGGTTTTCCTGTGTTCTTTTCTTCGCTACCGGTGGGTCTTGCTTTGCAGGGCGAAAACTGTGATGGTCTGAACGGTTGCAGATGCCGAGAGGGTGTTTTCCATGTATTTTTGCACGTTGATCGTGCTGTAGATGATGTTGAAATTCGCGCATTCGGTCATCCTTCTCACCAACGCGTTCAACAACTCCGGTGCGACCGCACTCCCCGTACCGACTATTTTGCGGTCAACCTAAAATGGTTGCAATAATTTGCGGGAACCCGCGCTCTTGCAATACCACCACGACTATGTGACTATGTATAGATCATCTCAATGACCAATGATCGTCTATCGCACCCCTTCGCCGCACGCCGAGGGAAACTATTATTCTCGTTGCATACGCATATTTTTGCATCCGCTCACTTCATTATAAACCATCTTCCAAAGCAGACAGGCTACAATAATAACCGACCCGTACATCATCATCATTCATTTTTTCCCGGCAATGCGTGCGGCGGTCTGTCTGTACGCGGTACGCGGCTATTTTTTGTTGTTGAATCCAGAGTGTGGGGAGTTCTTGGATCCCTCCATGGCCAGAACTGCGACCCAACGCACTCCGGGGAATCGTGTCGCTCGTGCGTTCCACATAAAAACCCATCAACATACGGAAATTCCGTGTGCGGCACAACACGTGACGGTTCCGATGAGCATGAGAACTCGCTTCACACGGAACATCAGCAGGTGAGCAGTTGCAAATGCGTGCCCGTCAGGGTGCCCGTGACCCAGACCCACTCACGGGAGAGCGGGTGCTGGTGTCGTCGGCTGGCAATCACCATGTTGAATGACAAATTCGTAGCCTTTCCTTCCTCCCCGTCGAGAAGCACGGCGGCAGAGGATATCGCCGTAGCCGAGGAGGACATAATACTCCAGGGACAGCAGGGTATACCACCCGCAGGAGGTCCAAAGCACGATGATGGTAGTCCTGTTGCTGAAGCCGAATGTCCGCCTTCTCGGTGGGTAATGGTGGAGCCTTGGAGCTCGCTGCTGTTACTGTCCGACCATGTCCGTGAGGGGAGGGATGACGAGATTCTCCAGGTCTGATCATCTCGGGATGCGTTGGAGTCTTGTGTACACGCCTCAGACCCCAGAAGAGTCTTCGTCAACCTTTCGTCCCGCAAACCGGCTCGATGGGATGCTGATCACCGGTGGTCTGTATCCTACACACGTATGTATGTCCCGACGTTCGGCTAATCCATCTCGTGTCAACTCAAGATAGGATTACGTGTTCCTGAAAGTCCGAGGTTGTTAGGCTCGGCAACGTGAAGCAGTGCCGTCCGATATGTACGCTTTGTCTTCAAGCCAAGAAAATGTAGTAAAAGCCAAGCAATGTATCTACAGTCGAGGGACCCTTTTAGTGCCGGTACGTGCACAGAGCGTTCACCGGCACTAAATCGGGCACCCGGCACTATTGCGAATAGTGCCAAAACGGCACTATTGAGGGCTGGCCAACCTCTCATTAGTGCCGGTACCGGCACTAATGAGGTTGTGTTCGATTTATGATGTAGCGCCCACGCTTACGGGGCCAACAAAGAACGAAATGGATCGACACTATTACTGTTGAGTGAAGTTCCAGCATGGGCGTGGGCAGAGTTGAGTTTTCTTTTTGTTGTCTTGGGGCGCTCTTTGGTTCTTCATTTTCTTCTGCACCTCACTTATTTGCTTATTTGT